TATGGACAAAATAAAAATGAGCGTTGTTTTGGCTATTTTTGAAAAGTGGGTGGTTGGACCCGATAAGGGTTGCCTACGTATTCTCACATTCGTGCAGAATCAAAACTCGTAGTCGGTCTCAAATAAACCGTAATTTATTTTGAAAACAATCCCTAATTTGAAAAATCAACTTGTTTTTGGTTTTGTTGGCAAATTCAACTTTCATGAAAGCAAGACATCTTTTTTATATTTTCTTTTTAGTGGGTCAAATAAAATGTAACTAATTTGTATAAATAAAACTCTTTGTGTTTTTCTTTCCATGGCAAACAAAAACTACTTTTCTTCTTTCTTTCATTTTCAAAAATCCGGCCAAGCATTTCGGCACTAATTGCCATGTATTTTTCTAAGCATATGGTATTAACTCTCCACACTCGCTATTTTCTCTTTTTTCCTCTCTTTTTTTTTTTCAATATTGCCGCGCAGATATTCAAAGCCCGTCAGCATGCGAGTTCCAAGACAGATAAAAATTGCACAGTAGGAGCATCAGGGATGGTCCATTATTCGGGTACACCGTCCTAGACGGACCCAACCCTCTGTTTGAAAGCCCCTAAGCAAAAAATGCACGTGATGCAAATAGCGTCTACTAGGGATCCGGCATGAAGTTAAGTTCTTCTAGGTGGCAAAATCCTGGATGTGTTTCTTAGACTGTTGTACCCGAGTGGACAGACTCGAGATCGAGGAGGCGTAACGTACGGGAACCCAAAAGCCATCCGGCTTAGTAACTTGTCCGGCCTCTTCTATTCTCAGGGTATGACACTAACAGAATAGGGAAGTTCTCAACCAGTAAGCCAGCATCCCCCGAGGTGAGAGAGAATGGTTCCCAAATATTATGTACATATCCAGGAATAATATCAAAAGTGGTAAAAAGCAACATTTTGCACATAGCATGAAACAGAAGAAAATCAGATAAACAAATACAGAAACAATATATCTATAGCTCGAATTCTGAACCTGACCAAAGTTCTGGGTTGGTCCCAGCGAGTCGCCAGAGCGTCACATCCTCTTGTTTATTACTACAGACAGCTCTACAATTCCCGCAAGCATATAATAAGGGAGTTATTTCAACTTGAAGTGACAACGGGACGGGATTCATTATTAAATTCAGAGTCGCTCACTTGGGAATTAATGGTGTCGCCAAGCAACATATCGAATCCGCGAAGCCGAGGAATTAATGACTCTGTTGAATAGGTCAGCGAACCAGAATATCCGAGTAGGAATTCTGTTAACTCGGGAGAAGGTGTTAGCACACGGGTTTCCGCGGTTCTAGCACTAGTCGCTCACCTATTGTGATTTGATTTTTGCCTGATTTCGAAATAATGTTCTAGCTTATGTCTTTTATATAAACCTGCTTTCATTTTCTATTATATTCATTTTTTAAATCGAATTGCAACGTCGTGGAACATGCCGCTTAAAACCACGTTCGCAACCAGTGCATCCCGTGATTGTTAACACATTTCGACTTCGCTTGAGAATTTGGATTGTGGGTCAGCATAAATGTGGCCACACGTGTTTAGGAAGGGATTTATTTAAAATGCGCGTCCTAAATAGCTAGCGCTTTTATTAAATTGTGTGGGGAGCCATAAATTCGCTAAAATGGTTCACATCCGAAGTCTAAATATTTTGAATATAAGCAATTAATGAGGGCCTCCGCATTTGTGTGTTTTATTCGTAGAGGCTCGTCTCGTCTATCATATTTATAAAGGGCAATCCTTAAAGTTGCTATAAACCTTTTTAATGGTATGGTCAGAATTAAATTTTTGAGATAAAAATTGGCTAATAGTTTGGCCCAATGCCTTTTAATGCCACTATGGGGTGAGATAACGGAGAAGGCTGACTGGACGGAGGTTTATCAATGAAAACAAACCCAGATAGGCCTCCAGTTAGCTTTCGGCAAATGCATCAGTGAATCAAGGCACTTATATTTGCTGGTTTTGTACTTATTAAATTAACTCATTATTTATAAATCAATGGCATGTTTTGATGGTGGACGTAAGTTAGCTAATGTCTGTTAGAAACTATTGATATTGGGAACTTAAGCGAGTTCACACGGAAATAATACTAACGAACCTCTTTCAAGTTTCAATTTATCTACAACTCCGGCTGACATACTAGATTTCAGAAATGTATAGCTGGAATAACTAAGACTAAGGTGATTAACTAATAATATGGAGATATGCAGTTAAAGCCGGATCAAGTCCAAAAGTTCATAACAAATAACTGCTTATATCATCTGGGCAATCCTATTGACATGAACAAAATCGAAGAACAGTCCAAGTCATAAATCTCATTGCATGAAAGAGGCATTAGGTTCTAACTATGGTAACATTGCTATACTCCAAGAATCAAAATTTCACTGCAGCATCCATAATGAATATGTCCAGTTATACAGCCAGTTAACAATCCAGCATCTAAACACATATTATCAAGAATTCGATTCGACACTATGCTGATTTAAATCTAGACACCTATTAACTATCAATACATCACAGTCCAAACAGCACACTTCAAAACAAACAGATGAACATTCGTATTCCATTTCAAGCTTAATGTTACAGCAGGGCAGATTTGAATGTGTACCTGGTAATTGCAAATAAGAAAAGGGAGAGATTAGCAGCAGTAACAACTTCAGCAGCAGCTCAGAAAACCAGTTTAAAAATCTCAACAACAGTCCAGCACAGACCCAACAACTCAGAATAAATTAGAGAGCCAATAGAGTTCACAGATTAACCCAAACAGCACCAAACAACTAAAAATGAACCCAGGACTGACATCCCCAGTAAACAAACAACAAATCAACCTAGACTAAGTAAATCTCATGCACACATGATTCGAACAGCTTGTGAATATCCAAAGTGAGCATACACATATGAGTTCAGGTTACTTCTTATCCTTAACGAGCTAGGAAATGGGATTAATGACTGAAATTTGAGAATGAGGTTAGGAGAGATTAATGGAATAGTAATTTTTACTTTTCTGTTGTTTTCTGAAACTTGAGGATGATCAGAGGGTTTTGAGGGGGGGGTCGAGATGGCTATTCAGAAAAACTCCCTCCTCAAGGCAAATGAATGCCTATTTATAGGTGAACTTAGGTCCAATTTCAGATTTTCCCTTTACCCCCTTAGTCCCTATTTAATTTCAGTGCTTACCCCTTTATTTTCTGACTTGTTACACAAGTAACTACCTTAAGTTTATTAGAACCTACACTATAGTCCATCCTAGAAGGTTCTATGCCCATTACAATTCCTATTCTATCCTTACTTTACTTTAACAATTACCAATCTTAGTGAAACTACCCTTTTCCATGCCTATACTACCCTTTGAATCCTATGAAATTACTGACCAAGTTAAACCAGTCTATTAACTACAACCAAGCAATCTATTTCTAGGGCTAGAGCAATTAAAATCATCTTGCAGTAAACAATTAAAATCAGATTGCAGTGAACAATTAGGATTCGACTAACTGAACCTAAAGTCAGACCACTTAACAACAAATTTGAACAACAGTAAAGGCTCAACAACAAATTAGACCAATAACAACAAATCAACAGAATTAATACTGAAACAACAAATCAAAAAATACTGAAACAGAATTAATAACAACAAATCAGACCAATAACAACAGTAAAGGCTCAAATACTGAAGAAGAAAAATTGAAATCAAAAGTGCCCTAAAGAGTTAAAGATTATCAAACAATTTTGAACAAGCATACAGAATCAGAACTTACTAAGTTGAGCACTCGACTAACTATGGGGAACTCTGACCGGCCATTTGTTTGAATCCTCCGGGATTCTTGACACGTAACATCCCTAATCGTGTGTTTTCAAAAGAACACACATGATTAAGGAAGTTACGGTCCAAAATCCCCCAAGATTTTCTGAGCTAGGGCAACATTCGAACGTTTCTAGTTAGGGATTCAGGTAAAGGAGAGGGAGGGGAGCATGGGGTATAAGTTTGGTAGGGTTTGGAAGAGATAGGGTTTTGGCCGGATTTTTGATTTGATATTTGAGCAATTCCGGCCATATTCGAGGTAAGTGGCTATGGGGGTTGGGTAAAGGAGGTCAAGGCGGTCCCATGGTGTTAATTTGGGACCGTTTGGCATAACCGGCGACTTGGCCGGAAAATTTTGAACGGATATTCGACGAGATTGGCTATGAATTGAGGTATGATATTTGGGGATTTGGAAAGAGGAGGAGACAGTGGTTCCAGGGTGTAATTTTGGTGGTCATCGGAGCTTCGCCGCCGCCGCCCGGCGGACGGCGGAGGGACGGTGGGGCTAGGGCGGAGGAGGGTGGCCGGCACCAGCGTTACAGGGGACGGGTTGGTACGAGGATGAGGAGTTGTGTTTTAATTTTTTGTATATAATTCGGACAGTTTTATTTCATTTTGGGAGTTAATCGTGGCCATTGGATTTGGGGAAATAGACGGTCGTGATTAAACGACGTCAAAACGACGTCGTTTTTATTATGGGGGAGGACTGGACCGGGTAGGGGCGTTTGGGCTAGGTTGGGGTGGGGTATTTGGGCTAACTAATTTTTGGCCCAAATTTGGTCTCTACTTGAGACCAGTTTTAATTTTTCTTCTTTTTTTTTTTCCTTCTTTTTTTTTCTGTACTTTTGTATTTATTTTTTCTGATTTTATAAAATGCTAAAACAAAGCAAAAGACCTAATTAAGCTATTTAACTCCTAAAATTATTATTTAAAACTCTATTTAAAGATAAATGTAATAATTAACAATGCAAAGAAACTATTTTCTTGCAATTTTCTTTACATTTTATTCTAAAACTAATTACTAAAACTGTGAAACTAAATCCCTAAATGCCAATGCATATTTTTTGGTATTTTCATATGGATTAAAATGCACAAATAAAAATGCAACAGTTACCAAAGCATGCCACAAAATTCACAGAAATTTATAAAATACTAGAAAAAATTGTTTTGTTTGACATTTTGGGAATTATTGCTTAGGGAAAAAATCACGTGCTCACAATAACCATCAAAGTTCAAATTATACCTACAAATGTTATTCACATAGACAATTTAAACAAAAATAAAATATTTGAAAACAGAAGATCCCAAGAATTCATTCCAAGAATAAAACTATGGATAATTATACATCTTTACAGTTAAACAATGTTGGATTCAAACTAATATTGGGACAAGAGATCTCTTCACTTCTTCACAGCTCTTGTTTCCATTCCTTCTGCTACTTTCTTTTAGTAGCTTCCTCCTCAAGTCGCTTGTGTACTTCCCCGTTTGATAATCACCTAAATTGAGAGAAGAAGATTGTATGAGGTAGTGACAAATGATGGCTAATACCACTAACTATTGCAGAATCCTAACTTTAAGTAATAAATTCCCTGGAAGAACATAATGAAAGTTGTTGTATGTTATTGCAGTCCAATACTTATCTTTCCAAGTGAATTATCTCCTATTCCAAATAATATAACAAATGAAGCTAACTCACAAAATCCACATAAAGATTGTAAAAGTCAATTACATACTATTTGGTTTAAAAGAAATCAAGGAGAATACCAATATTGTCAATGACTTGACACAAAGATATACGATAATTCAAATGTTAAACAAGCCGGTAAAAGTTGGTGGAGTATTGAATTTGGTGATATTGGAATCAACAATCCTAACCTTAGCAACCGCCGTTAAGGAGCACACCATAATCAGTCAGCAAAAGTTAACTGTACAAGAGATGAACATAGAGCCCCAAGACCATCTTACATCTAAAATTGAGCACTTTGTAGTGCAATGGAAGCCTGCGAGAAACAGATCACATTTGAATAAAAAGACTTGATATATCATATATCAGTACACAATAAATACAAAATAAAACTTATAAATATAACATTTTTAGAACAAGACCAACTAGAGGTAAAACTAAAAGTACATGCATAGCCAGTTTCATCCAAACTCCATTATCAAGCAAAACTCTTAGTTCATCACCTTGCCAAATGCCTACTATGATCACAGAATATTTATATCCTACTTGAAACTAGTGTCAGAATTGAAATAAGAGTTACTTTATATTCACATTCCCCCTACCAAGAAATTGACACCAGTGATAAAACTTTACACTGGAATAGACCTATGAGCCACTAGTCAACCATTTGAATATACTTAGATGAAAAACTTGACAACATTCATTACTCTACATTAGAGTTAGTCAATATATTTATTACTCTAAAGCAAGATCGAAAATAAAATGAAATTTACTTAGAAAACCAAAAAATAAAATCTTTACCTTCCACCAAGCACTCCAAACTAGTATATCATACAAAGATATGAAAGCGCGACATAAAAGTAGCACCAATTTGGGCAAAAAAAAAAAAAATCATCAAATCTACATACTATAAAAACTTAAAATTACTAAAATTAATTGTATGACTATCGATAAACGGAGACGTGTGAATAATTAATCACGATGATACCTGATTGTAGAAGAGAAAGAGAGACGAACGAATTCATATTCGAATCAGTGGAGGCATCGAACTTCAGAAGGAAATCTTCTCTTAATTTTAAATAATATATCATCTGTAGGAATTTGAACTCTACCGATCTCGTCCCAAGTCGCTACTTTGCTTTCTCAATCCTTCTCGTCGACGAAGATAACAAAGGTAGAGAAGAAGAAGCCGACGAAAAGGCACTATTAGCAGAGGATTCCAAAGGCCAGCAAGAAGGCATCCATAGGACCGTTGCAGTATAGTGAAGGAGACCTAGAAGAATTACATCACCGGAGCCGCCATTCTGGTCTAATTTCTCGTTTCACATATTTAAAAGTTACACATTAGGTAAAAGTTCCTTTCCTTTATTGTAATTGTCGATAACTTCTTATTAGTATTGTGTCTTTTAAATCAAAATGTTAAACTCCTCACATTTTTGTATCAAATATCATTATATTAGCAACAGTTTTTAATAAATATCACAAAACTAATTAATTTTTGATATTATTATTATTGTCACTAAATAAATGTGATCGTAACCTTTATTTCTTGTAGTGATTCAAGCTTCGGGTGCATTGTGACATTGAGTTAGTTTTCGAGGCTAGGATTGTTATAATCATGTTGTTCCTGTGTTAGATATTTTGAAATTGGGCATAAGTACGGGAAGTGTATTTTGACACCATATGCTAGAGCTTAATTGTTTCTATCAACCATGGTCATATGTGTAGTGTGTTGTAAATGTGTGGCTTGTTTGGTCCTTGAAGAGGAAATGTTTGGTTGGTTGACTCGAGGGCGAGCAACATTTAAGTGTGGGTTGTTGATGTCGTGCTATAATTTTATATATTCTGACGTTATTTACCCTACTTGCTTGTTATTTGGATGCTAATTTGTGCAATAATTGAGCTTAATTAATAGAGTTTATTCTACGTGTAGGGATGCTTGGACATGAAGTGGAGAAAAGTTGCACGAAATGGTACCTCAAAGCTACAAAATGGAGCAAGTAAAGAATACGTAAATGGCAATGAATAGTCACGGTGGTGGACAGTGCAAGGCTTTGTCCAGGGCATTGTCATTGGCGCCTTTAACAGTGCCTCGCGGGAAAATATTGGCGCCTCTGACAGTGCATCGCGGAGTAATGTTGGTGCCTCTGACAATGCCCCGCGCCAACGATGCTTATCCAAGCCACTTTTATTTCCTCATTATGTTTGGACGTGTAGACCTCAACCCTACCTTATAAATACCTCTTAAACTTAGTTTTAGATGGCGAGAGATTATTGGAGAGGCAAAAGGCTACGGAACACTTGGAAGCAACGAATCACACGAGTTTTCTCTTCCGTTCTTCCTTAATATGTATTTGAATACTTTCAATTGTTATCACCATTGTTAGTATGGTTATGAGTAGCTAAACTTTCTCATCTAGAGTTTATGGAACCTTTTGAAGGATAATTTTCTATTGCATTTAATATAATTTAACCTTTGAATTTACTTATTCAATTACATGCTTATTTGATTGTGCCTATTTATCATGAGTTGGTGGAGAAATGATATATGCAGGTAGCTAAAAGAGACTAGAAATCTTGAAGACCCGCTAGTTAACAGGTCCTTTTTGATTGAAAGACATTTTATGTCCTTCTGCTCTTATTTTATCAATTGATTTATTGTATTTATGTAGCCATATTATACTTAACGAAATAGTTGAGCAATTAGAACTTTGAACTTAAAACTAAGAGAAAGTGAAATAGAGGGTGTGTTTGGTATGAAGGAACATGTTTTCCATGGAAAATGAGTGGTTTTATTACTTATTTTTTCTTGTTTGGTTGGTGAGTGGAAAATATTTTCCGGAAAATATTTTCTAGTGTTTGGTTAGAGAGTAAAAATTTTTTTTTGCAGGAAAATATTTTTTCATGCTACTTTCCTTATCCCCCTCCCCCCTCCCCAAGTCTCTAAAAATTCACATAAACTCAAAAGAACTAATGTGCTGCTTTACTTTTTTATGTAAATATAACGTTGAAATTTGTGCTCCATAACTAAAAAGAAAATACTCCTTTTTTGGTTGAAAAAGAGAGTACTCTTTCTACAACATGAAAATAAAGTACTCATTTTATTAATATAAAAGAAAGTACTTTTTCTATATCATGAAAAGAAAATGCTCATTTTGTTAAAATGAAGAAAAAAATTACATAATGAAAAGAAAATACTTTTTTTGTAGAAATGAAAAAAAAAATACTTTTTCTACATGAAAGAAACTATTATTTTGTTAAAATAAAAAAAATATTTTTTTATATCATGAGAAAAAATCTATCTATAACATGAAAAGAAAGTACTATTAGTAATATTTTTATTTAGGGGGAAGGTGGGGTGGGTAGGTGGGGGTGGGGCGGAGGTTGGGGTTGGAGTGGGGTGGGGTTGGGTGGGTGGAGGTTGGGTGTGGGGTGTGTGGTGGGTTGGTGGGGATGAAGAATAGGGTAGGGAAGGTTGATTAGGAGTTTTGGAAAATGTTTTCCCTTCTCTTAATAGGAAAAACATTTTACTCCAATTGGAGAAAAATAAGTTCATGAGAAAAATATTTTCCAAAATATTAAAGCCAATCAAACATAGAAAAATTGAAAAATATTTTTCGCAAAATATTTTACTTCGTATCAAACACAACAAGAGCGTAAATTGCATGATTATTGAAATTGATTTTAATACTTGAATTTGATTTTACGTTGCTATTGTAAACAACTTGAGGCGGACATTTTTTTTATTAGAGCTGGACCATTAATTAAATTCTTAAAAGGACAATTTTATAATTAGACATAGTTTACTTACACCCATCATATCAGATTTTAATCTTGAAAACCGCATGTTGTATTAGTTATTTATAACTACCAAAAACTAAATGTTGTATTAACTGGACAAAGATTAAAGTAAATACTAGTACTAAGTTTCATATTGCAGATCAAAAAGTAGTATGTTAGCTATGTTTTTTATATTAAAATTACTTTTACTTATTCCGCCAATAAACACCAATATACCCTCAAACGACATTTGAGATTGAAGAACTAGCTTGCCTTGTGGCTTTCTAATTTGGGTAGGGGTGTTCACAAAAATCCGAGAAATCGAACCAAACCGAAAACCAAACCAAACCGACCAAAAAAATCGATACTTTTTTGTTTGGTTTGGTTTTGGTTTTGAATTTTAAAAATCGATCAAATTTAGTTTGGTTATGGTTTTAATCAGAAAAAAACCGGAAAAAACCCGAACCAAACCGACTATAGGAGTAGCTATTTCAAATTCATTATTACACCTATATATATGTATATTTTTATACGAAGTTTCAAAAATTTTATGGTAAATGTTAATAATTTGCACTTTTAGTATAGTTCTTTACCTTTACATTCTAATTTGATTGGTAGTTTCCTTTTGTTAAGTGTAAGAATCCATTTCGTGTTAAAAATTATATATTTTTAATTGAGTCCTTAAATTATTCATCACTTTTTAATTCAATTATCATCAATATATCTTGATAAATAATAAATTTCTAAAAGGGCAATTGATTTGATAGTGTTACGTTGAAAATGAGGTCGCTGAAATATGTATTTGGTAGTGTATGTCGTATATTTAAGAAAAAAAACCGACAAATAACCGAAAAAACTGAAAAAATAAAATCCGACATAAACCGAATCGAGAAAAAACCAACTTAATTGGTTTGGTTTGGTTCTAATATTTGAAAAACCGACTTACTTGGTTTGGTTTCTTTTTCGGGATAAACCGATCCAAACCGAAACATGAACACCCATTGATGCTTATTTGGGCAACGACCCAAGAACCCTCCTCTTCTCGTCTCTCTATCTCTCCTTCCAATTCTGGAATTGTATCTCCTAGTCACGCGCTTCCATCCGTTGAATTAATATCCCAAAGGAAACCCTTTTTACACTTCGAAACCCTAGGCATCAAACATTGCAATTCACACTGCACAATCATCACATACACTACGCAAACCTATATACACATTTGAAATTTGATCGAAGCGGAAGAATTTTACGGTTTTACACTAGCGGGAAAATGGCGTCAATGAAGCTGATGACTTCATCGGCGTCGCGAAATTCTGATCGAAGGAAATCGTCAGCGTCGTCGTCGTCTTCGTCGTCAACGATGCCGCACGATTTGCAGTTTTCAAACAACGGGAGTAATAATAGTAGTAGTAATTTGGAAGCGACTTCTGTGACGCCTGATGTAATTTTCCGGAATGTGTACGGAGAGAGTCATAATAATGCTTTACTGAACACGGAGATTACGTTACTCGATGCTGCCGGAGCAATAACGCCGATTAGCGATTCCGAGACACTGACGGCCATGGCGGTGACGGCTAGTGAGGTGCCACCGGTTAGGAGGACGGTGGATGATGTGTGGAGGGAAATTGTGGAAGGGAAGAGGGAAAAGCAAAGGGCGGCAGTAGTTGCGGGCTGTAAAGAGGAGATGATGACGCTGGAGGATTTTCTGGTGAAAGCGGGAGCAGTTGAGGAGGAGGCCGTGGCGCCTGTGCAGGGGCCTGAGGTGAAGGTTGAACTAGGGACTGAAAGGTTGAGTGGTGGAATTTTTGCATTTGATAATAGTACTCCATACATGGTCACGCCGCAGCAGAGTGTGCCAGGATATGGAAGAGGGAAGAGGAAGGCGGTTTTGGAACCCTTAGATAAGGCGGCGATGCAGAGGCAACGGAGGATGATTAAGAACAGAGAGTCAGCTGCCCGGTCTAGAGAGCGGAAACAGGTAAATGTAGTACTATGTGTTGCTTGTAGTAATCACCATTAGTCTTTTAGCTGAATTGGGATTTTTGGTTATGTGTTATAGGCTTATCAAGTGGAACTTGAGTCAATTGCAGTTAAATTAGAAGAGGAGAATGAGCTTCTGTTGAAAGAGAAGGTAATGTATTTTTATATTGTCTGGCAGCTAGACCTATGTTATTGTATCAATCTAAGATGACACTTGGATTATTTGCATTAAAGTTGTATGGGAAAATACCTGTTTGCATTTGTTTATACTGGGACTTTGAATTGATTGAGAAAATGAAGGTTCAATGCTAATTCAATTGGTTAGGTATATGATATATCAGCTTCTTAGCATAGCAAAGAAGAGATTGTCTTGTGTCTACCCCCACAGCTGTCACTATTTCAAAGACAACACTTCAATAGTCTAACTCCATAACTGCAGCCTGCAAGTTTCCATCTTTTTTTCTTTCTAAGAAAAAATAGTTTTTAGCTTTTCTATAAACTTTCAGCGAATTTGTGTTTTGGCTCCATAAGCTCACTGGATACCTTTCTTTTTTAATCTACTAAATGCACATTAACAATGAAATTGGGGAACAGGGAGAATAGCTGAAGAGGGGAAAGTCTTCTTTATGTGAACTTGATGAAAATCAATCTTCGTGACTTTTGGTAATTAAGGATGACCACTTTATTGTAAACACTTTTCTGTGTGAAAAGAAATAATTAGGGGTAAGAGTCTCCAGTATTGCTGCAGGCGCAGGATGCTACTTCTAAGAGGTAGATTATACTAATATTAGTTTCTCTTAGTCCAAAGATTTTAGTTCAAACTATTGATTTTCTGATGGAATACATTCTAACATCTTGATTATCATGCTTAACAACAACAACAAAAAACCCAGTGTAATACCACATAGTAGGGTCTGGGGAGGGTTACGCACACCTTACCCTACCTTGTGAAGGTATAGAAGCTGTTTCTGATAGACCCCACGGCTCAAAGAAAAAAGAAAAAGAAGCTTGTTAATCATTTACAAGTGCTTATTGTTTGCAAATTGTTGGTTCCAGTTTTCCAAGGGAATTGTGTATTATTAAGTAATGCAAAGTCTTATGTTTCAAATGAAACATTATATGATAATGTGGAACTTTATAGTGGTATTATTTTTTCTTTTGCAGCCCACTAAACGACCCCTTACTTGATTAAGGGTGCTTCCAAATATACAGGAAGGGACCAGTGTATGCAAATGGAATATTAGTTTGACTATAGAAATACTTTGGGGAATATTGATGTATTGGCGATCTTGAAGTGGAAGTTCAATATTACTCTTCTATTCTTCTTTGACTGCCTAAAAAGCTATTTGTTTATCTATTACTTCCTCCGTTCTAATTTATGTGAACCTGTTTGACTGGGCACGAAGTTTAAAAAAAAAATGAAGACTTTTAGAGTTTGTGGTCCTAAACAAGTCAAAAAGAGGTCCAGAGTATTGTGTGGTTATAAAAGCTTCTCATTAAGGGTAAAATTGGAAGTTTAAGCTAAATAATTTCCAAATTTAGAAAGGTGTCATTCTTTTTGGAACGGGCTAAAAAGGAAATAGGTTCACATAAACTGAACGGAGGGAGTAACTTTTTAGGGAAACATCCACTAGACATCTCGTTCTCTGTGGTTAGTTGGATAGTAGCTGAAAGCATATAATCTCGTACTGTTTTGTTTCATATTATGGCCTGTCTGATATGAAATTAAAAGTGCATTCGTTGGATATTCTTTTTGGGTTGTTTGAGTAGAGTCTAGAGAAGTAATGAGCAATTTTCTTACAAAGGCTAATTGTTTACTGATGCATTAAGTAACCATTGCTTCTTCATGGTCCTCGACTGGGCATTTTGATTAGTAGTAAACAGGGTATGTGTTTGAGGTGAGAAATTATCTTTAGCTAGAGAAAGTTGCCTGCTTGATAATCAAGTTTGAGCAGTGCTGTACCATTCTGTAAGCACTTAATAGGTCCAATATATGTTCCTCTGCTTTTCTGTATGTAATTGTTTTGTTGATTTGATTCTCTGAGTAACACAAGTACTTCTCTTAATGATAATTTTCAGGAAGAGCGAACCCGAGCACACTATAAGCAGGTAATTTCTGTTGCTATTCTATTCCCTATTTGTTGCGGTTGAATGGTTCATAGTTTTTCCTCATATCAAGTACTTTGATGATTAGAGAGTTGTCGCTAAGGTGCATCCACCTTCTCTGTCATTGCGCAGATCAACTACCCCTTTCTTACTGTTGGAGACATTCTTTGCTTCTAACCACATGCTTAGTTGCTACTGCCAGCTTAAATGTGTAGACGAAACCTGGAAATTTCTTGGTTGTACCTTTATTGCAAAATGATGAGGATAATCAAGGTCATCATTAGATTTCTTAGCTATTATAGACACTGTGCAGCAAAGTATAAGTCAGAAATATGGACTTCTAGCTCTAATGAATTCCATTTAGTTAATGGGATAAGTTTTGGATAGTGTGAGGAAAGTTAACGCTCTGTGTTTTCATGTATTTAATAGGCAGAAAAGTTGCTGGATCCACTCTATGAGGCTTTTGTCGTTTTTCTGTTTCTCTTGCCCATCAAATCCTATAAAAATTGCAGGAATTTAGGAGCCTTCTCCTCCAATCATTTCCCATTTAACTTTCTTTTTTCTCCCGATCAACAAGTTAATGCAAGAAAATTGCTTTCCTTGTCCTTGTAAACCCCTTTTCTTGAGAGACCTACCTTTTGAATTCTATGACAGTTAAATTCTCCAACCCTAGCAGGATATAAGATCATCTAAAGAGAAAGTCACTGGTTTAAGAGGTAGGCCTGGAAGAAAGGGAAGGGCATCTGGCAAAACTAATAGCACATAGCACAGTTTGTGGACAAGAGTTTTGTTTTAGTTCCCTGTAGTTGAGGATCACTTACTTATCAAGAACACAAAGTGGATTCTGGATAGACAAGTCTTTTTCAGCCTTTTTGAGAAAAATTACTCATGAAATTCTCACTTCATTTTGGAAACATTTGTGCGCTGTCACTCTTCTTGTAGTAAGAGAACTCTTTTTCACCCGTTGTAGTTTCTGCTATCAATGTAGGGTCTAAACGTTGGATCAAAATTTGGCATTTGAACTGCTACGGATTTTATGAGCCTATGCGTGTATCTAATCTGAACTAAGTCCTAATACCTCAGAAAATGGATGGTTCGACCTGTTTGAAATTAATTTAGGAGCCCATGTGAAAAAGCTGAGGATGGCCCTTTAGTTTCACTAGCCAAGCTATCATGAATGTCAACTTCAAAAGATTCATTTAACACAAAAGGCCAATAAATGTTTTCTTCCTATCCGCCTAAGCCTAGGTGGCAGAGTTTCCCCGTACCTATAGGGATGTCAATGGGGCGGTGCGGTCGTGCGGGTTTAGCGGGTGCGGGGCGGGTTAAAATAAAATAAATTTAATTTTTTGCGGGTATGGGTGTGGGTTTAAATTTTTTATGAAATTACAGCTTTTCAAGTTCTTGTCGTATGGAATTTATTCTCACTTTTCCTTCATCTGTGATGGATACATTAATAGGATCTTTACTGATATGAACAAAATGCTTTAATTTTTTCAGACAAGTTGACCTTTTAGTAAATAGCTTTTGTAATTTATTGTTTGTATCTCCCTTCTGCACATGTTTTGGAAGTTTATAGAATTGGTATTTTGGAAGTTTATAGAATTGGTATTTCAAGTGTCAGTTCTTGAATTGAAGATTGGGATGTGTATAGCATCCCAGTGGAGAACTTTTAGCTTAAATTTTGATTGCACTTAATGATATGGAAATATTGGCCTTTTTGCGTTACTACATGCTTCATCTATTACTATTGTATATATGTTTTCTTTTTAAAATTATACCTTTTCAAAATATAACCGGTGAAAAGACTAAATATTTGGCATTTGAGGATAGAAAAACTAAAATATGACTGAGGAATTTCTCATGTTACCCCTCATTTTCTCACCTGAAATAGAATGAGATTGACAGTATCATAGTTAAATTATGGTGCTCAATACTAACTTTGAATGCTTGATTCTAAATTCAAATGGTTATTGTTTAACTTATGCCTGCTATAATTGATAAGCAAAATAAAAATAAGACAAATTGAAAAGGAAAAAAAAAGTTGCGGGGGTGGATGCGGGTGTGGTGCGGGTTAAAAGAGCTATGTGGGGTGGGTTAAGATAAAACACCGCCCCGCACCATTTTCCATCTAGGTACCTACGCTAGTGAGAGGTAGCAGATACCCAGTGGAATAGCTGGGGTCCACACAAGTTGGCCCAGACATCATCGTCTTAAAAAGTAGTATAATCCATTAAGAAAAAAGAGAATGACCTGATGTATTGTTTTCTAATATTGTTAGATGAATCTTTTGAAAATGAAAGACAGCTTTATATACAAAAGGTACTGACAACCACATCCATTTCCCTGCTACGAGTGAAGCTCCTACATTTTACATATCTGTATGGTTGGGTTGTTAGGTTTTTGAAGTAGTGTAAAGGAAGTATCGGATAGATCAATGCTGAATGACTCCTAGCTATTCGGGAAGCCTTTCAATAATGAAACATGAGTAAAGATATTTAGATTTCTTGATACTAACAAAAATAGGAACCTTTAAGATTTTTTTGAATAAATCCACTAAAAATCATAACACAAAAACAAAGTTCCGACTTGTATGTCTTCAGAAATTTCTCTCTTCTCCTGGGAGTTCGCTGTTAAGAAACCTTTGCCATTGTGTTAGCCGTATACCATCCAAATAAGAAACAAGGTATCTGAATGTTTAAAGAACTGATGGTTTGATACTCGAAATAGTGATGAAGGCAACATCAATGGTAAAAGTACTTTGCAATGCTTTTTTAGTGGTAAATGATACAAGTCATAGTGGTGGTCTTGGTGGTATTCCCCTTGCATTTCCTCAACAAATCCTGTGAGGTAAAGGAGGAGTTCAAGTGTAGATTGCAACATAATTATTTGGAGGCAAAAAGAATTATCAGTTAAATTTCTCAGTAACAAGTTAAACACGCCTAAAAAGAAAGAAAGAAAAGGAAATAGAAAGGTCATGGCGAGATTACTCGATCGTACCGGGACTGTTTCAATTGATAAATTCATTCACATCCAGATCTTCTTCATGTATCTACATTTGCTTCCAACTAGATCTGGTTTAACTTTAATATTATGATTAGCCATTATAAGATTATGGGTATCCGAGAACTTGAGAGTATGATCCACCTTCTCTTTCTACTTGTTCAAGCTTTGAACTGCAAAATCATCTGTCCACATTTGGAGTCATTTGCTATTCTGACTGATTATTTGAAATGTCAGGAAAGATGCTTTAAGGCCTGATGATGTTCTTATAAATTGTTTCCCAAATAATCCTATATATTACTTTTTTCTGAATTTCACAAGCTCTTTTTGGATTCTTTTACATTTCCCAAAATGTATAATTATTTTCCTAAAGAGGAAAAAGATAATCTCTTTATGAGAATATGTTTAGTGACATGTGATAATAGACTCTTTCCACTTTTTATGTGTGTAATATTCTGGCCTTGCTTTCTCATAGTATTCAAAGCCCTGTAGTAGAAAAAAGTTATAATGTATGTCTTTGAGTTATTCATAGGTTCCGTGAGTTTGAGCTCCCTTGTGATGTGAACAACATTATTCCATCTTCCATTCGGCTTGAGCGATAATAATGTGAGCCATAATTTCTTTCCTTTTCATTTTCTGGCTTTAAAAGTCTATTTTGACGTTTGCTAATTATTTCAAATACAACAAATAGTTGAACTAGCAGAACTAGAGACCGGATAGAGAATGGCCATGCAAGATGATAGTTCCATCTTGGAATGGATCTTCTTGGTTTTCACATCCGAAGGTGGTACTATGTGCTTTTGGACCTCATCCATCTGTCCCCTAGTTATATATTGGGTTGCGATGTGGTGGGGAACAATGCATGAAATGATAGAGCAATTGTTACCTCTATTATGGTGGTTTTCATTCTTTAGCAATGGATTCATTGTGTAGTCGTTCACTTGTAACTAAAGGTAAAGTTCAGTTTATATTGTGTGCGTCACCGCTTCCCTGTTTGAATGCATGAGAATTATGGCTTGTTTGAGCAGCTAACTATGCCATTGTCATTAAGCTTATTGATGCCTGGAAGAATAACATTAGCAGCATGGCTAGCAGAAAGGCAATTTCCTTGTGCTCTTGACTTACTAGCAGCGTAAAGGTAGCACATTTAATATTTCTTGACTTCACTGTTGTTTTTCCTGCAGTTAATAGAGAAAGTGATTCCAGTTGTGGATAAGCGAAAACCACCTCGTGTCCTGCGAAGAGTTTGTTCCATGCAGTGGTAATGTATCATAGTGCATCAGGCATGAGTTCAAAATGAATTCCTTCTGATATAAGTTCATAATAAAGGAGCCTAATCGTGCTGGGGTAAGTGATATAACATCAAGTCGGTTAATTTAGCAGATGGTTATTCTTTCTGAGTGGTAACACTTCCTTTGTGAAGGACAGTATTGTATAGTATCATGTCCTGGAAAGTCTATAACGGGATCTTCTATTTATCTAGCGGAGGGAGTTCACTTAAGTTAGCACAACTATTTTTGTTGGTTGTTATAGGGGTTTTAGAATGCAAATGCCTGATTTGTTAGATTTGATATGAGTAAATCATGGGAATGAAATTCGGACTAACATTTTGTACTTGTTTGTCAATGGCTCGTTATAGCTTGCACTCGCGAGACTGATCAGTGATGTCGTCTCATGCTTTCCTTTGCTCGACATGCAGGATGATTACACATAAGCATTCTTAACAAGGGCGGCTCAACCCCTAGGCCAATAAAGGAATTATAATACATGGAAAAAATAGTATAAAAAAATTACCGCAAACTTGATTGGTTCGGTGTTTGCACTAATCTTTTTAAAACTAGTACTGGTTATAAAAGGTGGTATTAATCCCTTTTCCAACAAATACAAGGGGGTCACAAAGTTTTAGTATTATCCTAGAATAATTGAACGAGTTCAAGGATAGAAATATGTATTGTCTCAATATAAACTCCATATTATTGACATAGTCATGCCCCTATATTGTGGTGGGATGTAACTGACACTCAACTCTTACTACCCGTTGGGCGAATCATACACTAGCTAGTTGGAGGTTTAAACTGCTCTTAATAATTAAAATTATATCAACAAAGTCTTTATTAAAATTCGGCAGGCAAACTAAATAAAGAGTTTTGTTTCAAAGTGTCTATAAGCTAACCTATTGTCAAGTCATGAGCCTCTATATGAAATCTGAGTATATAAAACTTTGGGGCATTGCTCGGGAATAAACAAAAATGTCTACAAATAAATAAGGCATGGGAAAAGATTTACAGTCACTAGGAAAAATCAACGGAGCTAGCTCTAGGAGGTCTGCCTCTAGTCACGTACACTCAACATTTGCCATACGACGTGGCAGACTCAAACTGATTAAGTGCCTCCAAGGATATCCAGCAAGTCTCATCGACAATGCCCCAAGTGGTGGACAAGAGTCACAAGACTAGCGCATGCTCTATGGTAATTCAGAATTTCAGATAGGAGTAATAAATACTGAATAATCTAAAAGTTGGAATTGAATTTAAAACTGATAACTGTAAGTTGAAGCTGAAAACCGAGTCTATAACTGATAAATGAAATTGAAACTGAAAACTAAGAAAATATTTGACAACTGAACCTACAGCTGAAAACTTAGTCTAACAATAATATTTAAAATTGAAGTTCAAATTAAGTTATTTTAAGGCAGAATAGCCTAGTAGACACTTTTACTTGTTTGCATTTGTCATCCCGGTCCCTATATTCAATGAAGTTTTATCTAGACACTTATAATTGTTCAAAATCGATATTTTAAACCCCTCTGACCATTGACCGATCATATGTGGCAACTTGATGGCTGAGTTGTACATGATGCGTATATTTCACGCGTATAAGGAGCGTGAATATAAAAGATTTAGTTTAAAAATGATTAAAATAAGAAGAAAAAGAAAAAAGAAATTAAAAACAAAAAATATACTACTCCACGTTTCTTCTCGTTTTCACCCCACCCCTCCCTTTTTTTCTTTATCCCTCTCCCCTTTTCGTTCTTCTCCCGATTCCTACCCTATTTCTTTTTCTTCCCTTCTTATTCTTCCCCAGCCCCAGCTCCTGCCCCTGCCCGGCCCAATTTCTTTTTTTTAAATATTTTTGATAGATCTGACTTCGTTGCATGATCTAGTTAATTATCTATTTGTCATTGTTTGTTTGCTTTGAGAATGTCTGTTTTCAGTACAAAATCTTTAATTTGATTGATAGACATTTTTATTTTTCATTATACTTGTATGGATAAAATTAAATATGATGGAGGTTAATACTAAGAATGGATGGGAAGTGATGAAAGAAGGAATAAAGATGGACGAAAATGGCAAAAAAAGTGACGGAGTTGGGTTGCTACTATGGTTGGCAAGGTGGGTTTTGAAAAGGAAAAAAAAGGGTGGAGATAAAGTATTTAGGTAGAGGTAGAATAAAGTACTTGGGAATCAAAGCGTGTTCATAGTGTTTTTTGCTGGCCAAGAAATTTTCACATGATGACAGTGATGACAGTGATAACATTAGGAGAAGTAGATGGTGAAGAAGAAAGAGGAAAAAAACAAAAAGTTAACAAAAAAAAAGAAGAAGAAGAAAGAGAGAAGGGTTATTTCTTTTTCATGTAAAATTAAAAAGAAAAGGTGATGTAGCATAATTTTATCTGATGTGGATTCTAGCATCATGCGATTGAGAGTCATGCAGCGTTAGAGGGGTTTAAAATATTGCTTTTGAACAAATATAAGTGCCTAGATGAAACTTCGTTGAATATAGGGACCGGGATGACAAATGGCAACAAGTACAAGTGTCTAGCAGGCTATTCTTGCCTTATTTTAATATACCACTTTTCTTGCCGCACTACTTTGACGCATAACATTTCACATACTTTCTAGTTTAGTAGCTTGAATCAGTGGGGTAATTTCTAAAATGGAATTAAATGTAAAGATAGCAACCAGCTTTGGCTCATGCAATACATGGTAAATACAATTTTGGCTGTCGCATCTATGCTAGAATTTATAGCACAGCATTTTACCTAACTCTTTTTCTCTTAAAAGCCACATTCCTTGTGTGATTTTTATTTGTCACATTCCTAGAATATGAAAATAAAGGCTAAAGGCTGAGAGAGGTATCAAATTATCCATGAGGTCAAAATTGGAGTCACTTTAACTTCACTTGGGAAGAATTAAAGTTTATGAATGTTGCTACAGCCTCTTCTAGAGCTTCTCTCTTCTAACCAGGCAGGCGGCTCTTTGAGAAACTTGACAGATGCAAATTTTTGGTATCAAAAGGTTAACACCCGGTTTACTGCAAATTCAGTATTACCAATATCAGATAAGCTCCGCCGTCTGTCAATTCCTTGCTTCCACCTTTTGGCTCCTTGCGCTTCTTCATCTCATCTTTGCACTTTTGTGAATTTTCCCGTTTTGATCATTGTTTCTTGTGAGTTTTCTTCTCCTTCTTCCCATACCGTGTTTCTCTATTTAATTTTTTATGGCATGTTAGGGCTTTATTGCACAGAGAGTTTAATTTGTCCAACGGCTTTGTCTTTAGGTGTTTGAGGCAATTCCTGAATGAATTAGGCATTTTTTTGATTTCTACTATTGTTTTGGGTTTATTTTCTCGATTGTGAAATAGTTGGGAAAACCTGCGACTAAATACTAACAACCACTTTTGCTTTTAATTAGACAGTACGGATTGAACTAAACCATCCATGCCTTGTGTCTTTTCTTACAAAGAAGAGAAATTTCAATATTAAGTTTGCAATGAGATCTTTAATTGTTTGTTTTTCACACTTGGTCTTTGTGAATCAGAGTTTGAAGCATTTAACATGTGGGTGTACAATTTATTTTTTGTTCACATTGATAAGCTGTTAAATCTGTAAAAGCCCAAATATTCTCAAAGTCTTGCTATTTCATGTTGTTTTATCAGTATAAGCTACTAAATAGGTATTTGGGTCTGATAGTATCTTCAATTTGATATAGGACATAAAAAGAAAAAATTAATTTTTCATCTAATATTATTGTCGCTTTCCTATAGATTACATGCGTACACTTATTTTATGTACTAAGATTCTTTTCACATATATGCACAATCCTTTAAATCAATTAAGAAGATAAACAGAAATAGTAAATGAAATCAAGCTATTGGGATTAGCATTTGGTAGTCAGCTTACTGAATGCCAATTTGAAAAAATAAGTAAACTTTTTTAAGATTTATTTCCTCGCTGTTGGAGAATTCACAATGTTCTGTTAATGTAAATGCTATAACAGCCACTATCCTGTGTGATGTCTGGAGTGCTTGTAAACAACAAAATTTAATTTATCACACTTTGTCTTCGGTGAGATTGTAACTTGCATCATACAATATGTACGATGACCACACTGAACAATGATTGCACAACTATTATGCATACCTGATTAGACAAAAAATATATTCAATGACATACAGATTGTTCTATTTGCTCCAAATAGCTACAAAATTTTAAAGAATAATAACCAACATGAGTTCATACACTTAGAGTTGAATAAAAAACAAATAAGCCAAAACTACTTACTGCAGCAAGGACGTAAGATTGGTACATCATGTGTATCATATAAACCTTATGATCGATAGAGTGTCTTGAGTTCAACAGAAAGTAACACATCATCTCTTAAGTATGTTGGAAGCTCAATTATGCTGTTGCAACATCATACTAATCTAATGCTAAAACACAACCACAGTAACCAGAGAGGAAAGTAGCCTATAAAAAAGGGTAACTAAAGAGGAAAGTTTAGTGTTCAGGGAAATTATTTGCCAAAGTTCCAAACTAGAATTTTTTTAATAATATAGGGATTTAGTAGAACCGTTTGTGCCACAGAAAGAATTAAATGATAGTTGCAGCACTAATAACCAAAGTCGCATACATATAAAATGGCAACCAGTCGTAGAAACTCATGACAAACCCCAGGAAAGTTGTTATGATAAGTAAGTGTTAAATTAAAATATTTCAAACCCCCCAAAAGTTCTTGTGATAAATTAGTCTTACATTAAAATATTGCTCTATAGGATGAAGAAGTAAATAGTGAAGTTCAACAAATTTTCTCATTGTATTTCTGTGGGTAATACATTAATCTTTAATAGATATAGTGTTCCGTGATATTAAAAATATAATTTATGTCTTTTTAAAACATCTCATGAGAACTTCGGTTGAAAATATTTATAGGTGAAAAGAGAAGTTGAACTGCCGCGACTGATGGATTTTAAAGAACCAAACAAGTACTCATACGCAGAAAAAAAGAAGGCTGCAATGCAGCTTAAACGGCGTGATACACAGAGCCAAACACTTCAACATCTTCACACCCAAAATGACTTGATTCTCAGCACCACCTAAAATCACAAAACCAAGTTAATAAACCACCAGATATAGGATCCATGCAAATAGACGACACAAACATGCAAGCAACACCGCTACATTTCTACAAACGCCGATCCCAGACAAATACCTATCACCCACACTAAACACTCAATTAACCTCCTTCAATACATCCGACTTATCAGATGAAATACTTCATAATCCTGCTGATGATGACACGTTTATTCCAATCACCTCAACTGATAAATCGCGTTTGTATGAACCT